CCCCCCCCGAGTGTGGGGGGGCGGCTCTGTTAGCTGACTGATGTATTTCCCTTCTTAACGCCTTTTCAGACCTTCCTTACACGCCCCAAGCCATGCCCCAAAGAGCCTTTAAGCCTCTGAAACCCCACCGGAAGTAGGAAATGAACCAGGGAAAGAAAGAAAGCAAATCGGTAAGGCCAGCTGCCCCCCGTCCCAGAACTCAGACGCTTCCCTAGGAAAGCCGCCCCCAGGACCCTGAGCTTTCACCCCAGGTCTGATTTTCCTACTTTGCCCTTTTAAAAAGATTGCCAAACGGGACCCCTTCGGATTTGCTGGCCTCTTCCAGGCCATTCCCTTGGGAACAACATGGGTGGGCAGCTGCCTTCTTTCAGGAGCTTTCAAGAGGGTCAGACTAGAGGACCTCTGCAGTCCCCTCTAAATCTATGATTCTGTAGCCTACGATCCGGCTTTTCCTGGTGGTCTCCCATCCCAGTATTAACCTTGTATCTATCGCTCCTTGGCTTTCATGCCCAGCTAAAGCCTTGCTGGTTGTCTCTAACGCGCTCAGTCGTTGCTTTTACAGTGCTGGGGGGCGGGTGTTCCTTGTCCAGCAGTGCCCCCCCCTCCCTTGCCCTTATTGATTAAATCCATCGGTTCACTGCTGGTGTTTGCTGGAGCGGAACGCGCCAACGAATCGGGGCTGCCGAACGTGGCTTTTGTGCCTGAGCACGACCGCAATCGGAGAACATTTGGCGTATCTCTTCCAGCTGCTATTTAGGCCAGTGCCAGATGTTTTTCACTTTTCCCTGGTTTTGGAGAGGGGGGAAGGGAGGTGTTTTAGAAGTTTCCAAACCCATTAACGGCGCCTCCCCCCCCTTCCTCCCCATGCTTCTTTTTGTGCAGGCTGAGGCTTCTTCCGGCCGGAGAATGAAGGGGGCAGCCAGGCCGTGGGGAGTGGTGTCCAAACCGGGGAGCCACGGAACGGAACGAGGAGGAAAACCGCTGCCTGCCGCCACGGGGGGAATGAGGCCGTCCAAGTCCTCGACCTCGCTGGCGTTCGACTCACGGCTCAGCAAGGTGGGCCGGATGGGACGGGGTGGGGTGGGGTGTTCCAAATCGAGGGGGTCGTGGGGGGAAAATCTGAGCATCCAGCTGTGGTTTCCAACAGTCGTGCCCTCCAGATGTGTATAAGTCCAATTCCTGGGAAATAGGGCTGTTCCAAGGAACCTGGTCGGGTCGGCCCCAGCCTTCCCTAATTTTTGAAACATGGGAAGATCAGCGATAAGGATCCTTGAAAGAATGGGAAAGTGGCTAGGTCTCAAAGGAGTGAAGAAGCCAGGAAACTGGTCCCTGGGCCTCTCCCGGAGGCTTTGCTGGAAAATCAGCAAAGAGGGCAATTCTCTTCCATCATTGATCTGGGCTACCACGGGTGTTTATGTTCCCCAGGAATCAGCAAATCCCACATTTTTAAAATTGGCGGGCTGGAGAAAGGGAAAGAGACAAGATCGAGAAGCGGTTGGATGCTGGAGGCGCAGCGGGAATTTTGCACAGCCAGGAATGTCTCCGGCTTGCTGTCTTCTTGAATGTAGCTCAGACGTGGGGAGGGGGTGTCAACATTTGCAAGATTGTGACCCTGCCCCATGAGCACCCCTGGGTGCAGGGGAAGGTGCTCTCAACCCGTTTTTAGGGTGGGTTGTAGACCAGAATCCAAGCTTCTGCCCAGTCTCTGGGAGTTGGGCAGCATATATATTAAATTATTCCTACTTCTACTTCTACTTCTACTCCTTCTCCTCTTCCCCTTCCTCTCTTCCTCCTCCTCCTTTCTTCCTCCTTCCCCCATAGGACAATTAGCAGTCAATTTGTAAGTATCTTCCACACATTATTATTTCTCCTTCTCCTTCTCCTTCCTCTCTTCCTCCTCCTCCTCCTTTCTTCCTCCTTCCCCCATAGGACAATTAGCAGTCAATTTGTAAGTATCTTCCACACATTATTATTTCTCCTTCTCCTTCTCCTTCCTCTCTTCCTCCTCCTCCTCCTTTCTTCCTCCTTCCCCCATAGGACAATTAGCAGTCAATTTGTAAGTATCTTCCACACATTATTATTTCTCCTTCTCCTTCTCCTTCCTCTCTTCCTCCTCCTCCTCCTTTCTTCCTCCTTCCCCCATAGGACAATTAGCAGTCAATTTGTAAGTATCTTCCACACATTATTATTTCTCCTTCTCCTTCTCCTTCTCCTTCTCCTTCTCCTTCTCCTTCTCCTTCTCCTTCTCCTTCTC